AATACCAAGTCCAGTACAGTCTGCTTGCTGGTCAGTTTGAAAAAAAAAAGCACTACTTTTAAGAAACTCTTGAAAGAGTTCCATAAACTCATCAACTAGGCATTATTACCAGATTTTTCCAGTTTGTATGTCATTTAAAGTTATAATTATTACCAACCCCTTACTAAGAGTACGAATATTTCTTGTGTACTTCTAAAGCATGGTTACTGTTTGAAATCCTGTAGGTCACTGCCACTAGTGACTTCTTTCTCCCACTATTCTTTACCTCCAGTCAAACTGATCATATGTCCTGATGTTCTGAACCAAGGTCATCTCTAACTTTTGCATTAATACCATCTTTGATTACATGTGCTTCTCCTTCCTCTCAATTAGCCTCATATTCTTAAGTATAATATACCATTCAAAATTCAGGAATCAATCTTTATTGTCCTGCATGCACATCACTGTAATAGCTATCAGATCATACTTATTTATGTCAACGCGTGTTATTTATTAATTTTGTTTTGAATATTATAGACCTCTTGGGGATGAGTGACCATAATATGATGGAATTCTTCATCAAGGCAGAGAGGTAGTGGATTCTGAGGCTAGGGTCCTAAAGCTTCATAAGGCAAACTACAATGGTGTGAAGCGTTCGAGTTGGCTTTGGTGGATTGGGAAATGGCAATGAAAGGACTATCTGTGGATAGGCAATGGCAAACATTCAAAGAATGAATGGGTAAATTACAAAAGTCATTTATTTCTTGCCTGGCACATGAGTGCAAAGAGAATAATAGCCAAACAAGGGACAAGTCAGAGATAGTATTAGAAGCAAAACGAAAGTATACAAATTGGGAAGAGAAAAAAAAAAATAGACCTGAAGATTGAGAACAGTTTAGAAGTCAGCAAACGAGGACCAAGTGATTGATTAAGAAGGGGTGAAGCAGCATGAGTGTAAGCTTGCAGAGAACATAAGAACTGACTGTAAAACTTTTCATAAGTATGTAAAGAGCAAAGGATTACTGAAAACTAATATACGTCCATCACAGTCAGAAATAGGAAACAAAGAAGTGGCTGACAAGCTAAATTCATACTTTGTATCAGAGATAGTAGGAACTGCAGATGCTGG